CAGCAGCAGCAGCAGCAGTCAACCGTGTCGTTTAATCTTCCAACAGCCTCAGCACAAGTGCCAGTTTTCCCTGCCCCACTACCTGCCAACAGTGCTGCCGCCGCGCGACCCCCTGTTGCCGCCAAGTGCCCGCAGGAGACTGTACAGGCATTGGAACCAGCACGGCCCAGCGCTGCCTTCTTTGAGGAACGAGGCATTGACGAGGAGTTGCCGTTGACGGAACACCGCAAATCCACATCGACAACCAGCGCCCGCTTCTATCAATTTCGTGTAAGTTCTCATCCGTTGCCGTTAGTGCATTTTTGATGTCGCAATTGCGCGTTTATTAAGGGCTGCGCCATTGCAGACGCCTCTCCTGAGTACTTCCGATAGCCGTCTACAGGAATCAAATAAATATTTACGCGTTCCACTTGAGTAACCTTAGAGTTATTCACGATTGAAGTACTCTCACAAATTATTGTTGACTTAAAGGCTCTCGTAGGACCCCACTTGCTAATCATTCCTTTATCGCAGGAGGTTAAGTAAGTTAAACCCTAAAAACTGCAATCTTCAGACCGTGGTTACTTAGTAGAGAAGAAGTCGGTAGAGGCCAGATTGTTAGGAACAATATATTGTGTACAGAGAGGAACGAAGAATAGATGGAAATAGATTTGACTTGGAGTGCATACAACCGGCCAGGAGAGCCAGTTAAGTCTTAGTGCTGATTTGACAGCAGTCAGGACAGTAGACAGAGAGAGAGCGTTCATAAGCCGGGTCGGCCTGTGATTGGTTGGACAGCGTGTGGGTAGACATCGACGTGGGCGTCCGTGTCTCGCGCGCCAGTAAATCTGGCGACCGCCACGACCTTGAGGTCTAGACGGATTTAGGTCACGACAGGAAGGCCAGACGTCGGGCAGACAGCGACTACTACACCTTGCCTACGTTTTTTAAGTTTGAGTAGCCGAAACTGGCAGCCTGGGAGCAGTATGTGTTGGGGTTCGGTCCATGTAAAATAAACAGGAGGGAGCATGTTCAGGTGCGGGCATATGGTTTAGTATATTTAGCGTAATAGGCGATGCTGTCACAGATAGTAGCGTCGAACAAGAGAAGGTAGCCCAAATTACTACTCGAGTAGGACGAGATTGGAGGAACAGTTTTACTGCGGACAAATAACTGTACAGAGTTGTGTCACCAGCCAGCTATGTCTGAACGCCAGGTGTGCCTGAGAGGTGGTGTCGTTGTGTTGCTTTGCCTGTGCTCTCTCGTCTGCACAGCCAATCAGCTTGAGCGGGTGTATTGATTGACATCAAGCGTTTGCACGTTTGAAGCAGCCAGTCAATCGATGCCGTTTAAGAAGCCGATTGGAATCGATTTATCACGCGGGATGCAAGCTATAGCAGCCGAAGATAGGCTGAGTCACGCGCACTTGGGCTGCGCGACACGCA